TGACCACATTCACACCTCCCTTGGGAGGGGACATTGCTGATAGCAGCTATGGAATGTCCCTGCATGGCTGATAAGAACTGCAGCATCCCATTGGGAGATGAGAGCCCAGAGGGAGGAGCCAAGCATTCCTACCTGGATACAATCTGAGATTTCAAACATTCCTACCTGGATACAATCTGAGATTTCAATCATTCCTACCTGGGTATAATCTGAGATTTCAAACATTCCTACCCGGATATAATCTGAGATTTCAAACATTCCTACCCAGATACAATCTGAGATTTCAAACATTCCTACCTGGATAGAATCTGAGATTCAAACATTCCTACCTGGATACAATCTGAGATTTCAAACATTCCTACCTGGATAGAATCTGAGATTTCAAACATTCCTACCCAGGTAGAATCTGAGATTTCAAACATTCCTACCCAGATACAATCTGAGATTTCAAACATTTACATTCCTACCTGGATACAATCTGAGATTTCAAACATTCCTACCCAGATATAATCCAGAGGTTTTGAGACACCAGCACAGCTTTCTCCACTGGATTCCCCAGAGGAACAGCAGCTGCCTCTCCTTCCCTTGGATCTGCAGAGGCAGAATCCATCCTTCTCTACAGATCCCCCTTGCTCCAGCAGAACCACCCCTGGCACTGCAGGAGGGCTGAGCCACAATTCCAATGGGACTGACACCAACACCCTGACCCACAGGGTAGGTCAGGTTCTGACTCTGGCAGTGTTGCTCTAGTGCACTGCATTGTTTATTTTATCCTTTATTTCTTTTTCCTGCTCCCATATTTTTGCCTGAGAGTCCCTTAATTTAAAATTTATAGCAATTTGGAGGGGTGGGGAGGGTTTACATTCTCCATTTCAGGGGAGGCTCCTGCCTTCCTTAGCAGACTCCTGTCTTTCCAAACCAAGACAACAGGTTACCCCCCAAACCTCCCCTGGCATCCCTGCCAGCCTCTCCATGCCCCCTTGTGCCCCCTTGCCTTGTTTTTGATGTCGTCCCGGGCACTCTGGAAGTTCAGCAAGGCCTCCTGCTCGTTCCTGGCGTGCTCCTGCTCCGTGGCCAGCTCCATTTCCTGCAGGACCCAGCTTTCCCAGTCCTGCTGCTCCAGCATGGCCCTCCTGTGGGGACACAAGGCAGGGAAAAGGGGTTTCCTCCATTGTTGGGGAAGATGAAACAGGAAAGCCTTGTAAATATGATTGTCTGGCAAAAGATGTGGAGAATATGGAAACTATAAGTGAGATTGAAATGAAAACAAGCTTTGAGATACTTGAGTTACTGAACAACTGGAAAGCAATGGTGTGACCAGCTGAAGGTGATCCCCTTTTGATGGAACAACACCCTCTGCTTGCAGACAGCTCCAAGGGGCAGAGCAGACCCTGCCAGCTTGGCAGAAGGGGCCCAAAGATTCTCATCTCTTCCCTTGTCCTGGGACCCCTGTGAACATCACCACACCCAGATGCAACATCCAGCTGGCCAAAAGTGTCTCTGAGGTGAAAACACCACACATCCAGCTGGCCAAAAGTGTCTCTGGGGTGAAAACACCACACATCCAGCTGGCCAAAAATGTCTCTGAGGTGAAAACACCACACATCCAGCTGGCCAAAAGTGTCTCTGGGGTGAAAACACCACAGTTGCTGCTATTTGGTTCAGCACCGAGGGCCAGACAAGCTCAGGCACGGCAATATTGGTAATTATTCCAATACCCCATGAAATTCCACACCTCTCAGCCTCAAACTCGGCCTTCAGGGCGCCCACCTGGGCACTAAAGCCCTGCTCCAGGTAGCCCAGGCGGCAGCGCTGGAGGTGCAGCAGTTGGTCTGTGAGGTCCAGGTGGCTGCTCAGGGCTCGGTTCTGCTGCTCCTCTGCTTCCTTCAGCTCCATCACCAGCGCCTGGGGAGTTTTTTGGGGGGGTTATATGTGCTCCCTGAGACCCTCCTCTGTCACAGATATATTTTATGGAAAATCATTTTGTTAGGATGTTTTTCTCCTGAGAAGCTGAGAGGCCTCAGAAATGAAATGTAAACAATAATTATCTGTTGCTGTAGAATGCAACAGGTGAATCTGTGATTGGTCTTATGTTGGCTGTTTTTAATTAATGGCCAATCACAGTCCAGCTGTCTCGGACTATCTGGTCAGTCACAAGATTTTATTATAATTCCATTTTTCCTTTCCTTGATAGCCTTCTGATGAAATCCTTCCTTCTATTCTTTTAGTATAATATATGGAATATATTTTAATATATATCTGATATTTATCATATATTTAAAATATATCTTATATAAAATATATATAAAATATATGATAAATATAAGATATATACAGCATATATATCTCATAATACATATATCATGTCTTTTTATATATTTCTTATATTTTTAATATATATTATACTAATATACTATAATATATTTTAATATACTATAATATACTATAATATAATATAATATAATATAATATAATATAATATAATAATAAATCAGCCTTCTGAAACATGGAGTCAAGATTCCCATCTCTCCCCTCCTCCTGGCACCCCTCCCCACCCTGCCAGCCCCAGAGTTGTGGTATTCACCTGCCCTCTGAACAGAGAGAAGCTGTGAGACAAGCAAAGGATGTTCATTGCTTCAAGTCCAAACAGCTGAGTTTCAGGAGAAGGTAAAGAGCTACTGGCTGGGTGGATTTCTAAATAGTTATTAATGATTTTCTTTGGCAGTTCTCTGTTTCAGGACTCTGCAGGTCTGTTTCAGAACCAGGAAGGACCAGCAGTGTTCCAGATTGCAAGGCAAGATGTATTTATCACCATCTGTATGGCAGCTGTCTTTTATCAAGTGGGCAGTTTGCCTTATCTCTTCCACAATCACTCCTCCCTTGGGAGGGGACATCAGCTGATAACAGCTATTGAATGTCCCTGCATGGCTGATAAGAACTACAGCATCCCATTGGGAGATGTGAGCCCAGAGGGAAGAGCCAAGCATTCCTACCTGGATACAATCTGAGATTTCAAACATTCCTGCCTGGACACAATCTGAGATTTCAAACATTCCTACCCAGATATAATCTGAAATTTCAAACATTCCTACCTGGACACAATCTGAGATTTCAAACATTCCTACCTGGATACAATCTGAGATTTCAAACATTCATACCTGGATACAATCTGAGATTTCAAACATTCCTACCCAGATACAATCTGATATTTCAAACATTCCTACCTGGATACAATCTGAGATTTCAAACATTCCTACCCAGATATAATCTGGAGATTCTGGAACACCAGCACAGCTTCTCCACTGGATTCCCCAGAGGAACAGCAGCTGCCTCTCCTTCCCCTGGATCTCCAGAGGCAGAATCCATCCTTCTCTACAGATCCCCCTTGCTCCATCAGAACCACCCCTGACACTGCAGGAGGGCTGAGCCACAATTCCAATGGGACTGATACCAACACCCTGACCCACAGGGTGTCAGGTTGGGTTCTGACTCTGTCAGTGTCGTTTTGATTTGCTGCATTGTTTATTTTATCCTTTTATTTTCTTCCCTATTAAAGAACTGTTATTTCCTGCTCCCATAATTTTTGCCTGACAGCCCTTAATTTCAAATTTATAACAATTTGGAGGGGTGGGGGTTTACATTCTCCATTTAGGGGTGGGTCCTGCCTTCCTTAGCACACACCTCCCTTTCCAAACCCAGACAACCAGGGATGTCACAGAGCAGCATCTCCAGGGAACAGACCTTCTCCTGAAACTCAGCTCTTTGGATTTGAAACCATGAACATTCTCACAGCTTCTCTCTGTTCAGAGGGCACGTGAGCACCACCCAGAGTCACCTCAATGGTGCCATCCTTGCAGTCCATGACCCTTGAGAAGGTCTGGCTGAGGATCTCGATGTCCTGGCGCAGCTCTTGGTCCTTGGCCTTGCGTTGGGCCGAGCGCCAGAGGGTGCGGACCTTGTGGAGACCCCACGTGCTGCTCTGCTCCTCCCGTTTCAGCTTCTCCTGTGGAGGGGCAGGAGTGGGTTTGGGGTGCCTCTGCTGTCTGGGGGTGCAGCAGAACAAGGGCAGCCCCAGCCCTGGCGGGGGTGATGGAGAAAGTGCTAAGGAAATTTGCTGGGGAAAAGTGGGGTGGAGTTTGGAGGGGATCAGGGGAGGCTGCAGAGTGGTTCCAGACCTGCATGAAGCGGGTGAGCAGCGCCCTCTTGATTTTGGCCTCCTCCTCCTCAACCAGCGCTTGTCTCTGCAGCAGCAGCAGCTCAGCCTCGGCTGATGTGGGGGCAGTGAGATGGGATCTCGCCATGGCTGGGGGAGGGGACACGGCAGGAGGGGTCAGGGTGTGCATGGTGACCCCTCCATGTCCCCCCCAAGGCCCGTTCCACCTGCCCAGCTCCCCACATTATGGGGTACCCCACACCCCATAACCTTCTGCCTCCGTCCCCAGGCTCCCCCAGGCCCGTTTCCTTGCCCCTCCACTTCAGAGCACCCCCAGACCCCACCAACCCCTTCTTGTCCCTTCCAGGGACCCCCCCAGACCTGTCCCACCTCCCTCCCCAGGCCCCAGGGCCCATTTCCCACTGTCCATCCCCACCTCCAGAGCCCTCCTAGCTCACCCCCCTCCCTCCTACGCTCCCCCAGCACCCACCGCCCCTTCCAATGGGGTCTCCCTCCCCCCAGTTTGGGGTCCCGTCCCCGGTACCGGCTCCGGTCCCGGTCCTGGCCCGGCTCGCGCGTCCCTCCGGTTTCCCGGCAACGGCCGCTGAGGGGGCGGGGCCTCCGCGGCACTTCCGCCCTGACCCGCACGGGCGCCCCCTGGCGGTCAAGAGCGCGCTCGCAACCCCCCCTCACGGGGCGCGTCCCGCCGGTTCTGCCTCTCTACTATTGGCCGGCGCTCCGGGATTCCCCGCGCTGATTGGCGGGCGGGCGCCGCCGTGGGCGGGCCCTGCAGCCGGCGGGGTATATAAGGGCGCTGCGGCGGCGGGGCGCAGGGCGGTGGGTGGGTGCGAGCACGGGGGACCCGTGCGCGCCGCCGCCATGCGGGAGCGGAGGCCGGCACCGGCCGCCCCGGCCCGGTGCAAGCTGGTGCTGGTGGGTGACGTGCAGTGCGGCAAGACGGCCATGCTGCAGGTGCTGGCCAAGGATTGCTACCCCGAGGTGAGCCCTGACCGGCACCGGGGAACCGGCAGCGGGCGCCGGTAAAGCGGGACCGACCGGGCGCTGACGCTCTCGGTGCCGTTGCAGACGTACGTGCCCACCGTGTTTGAGAACTACACGGCGTGTCTGGCCAGCGAGGAGCAGCGGGTGGAACTGAGCCTCTGGGACACCTCCGGTACCGGGGGGAGACACGCACGGTGCATGTTTGGGGGGTTGGCGGGGGCTCCGGTACCGGGGGAGTGGGGCGGGGGCTGCCCCGGGCCTGATCGGGGAAGGTGCTTTGGGGTTTTTGGGCGGTCGTGGTTGGGATGCTGCAGTGAGCGGGGGGTCCCTGCAGTGGGGGTGTTTTGGCATCCCGAGGGTGTTTTGGGGACCTGCAGCGTGGCGGGGGAGGGTCCTTGATGGCCTTGTTGGGGTCTCGGGGGTGTTTTGGGGGGCCGGGCGTGTTTTGGGGTCCCTGCGGCGGCGCAGGGAGCTCGGTGACCGGGCTGAGGGGGGGTTCAGGTTTAGGGTCATAGCCGTGGGTGTGGGGGCACAGGCACTCCCCAGGGACCGACCCCACAGTCACAGGGGGGGTCGGGGACTGGGGGGGGTCACAGGAGGCTGAACCCCTTCCTTGGGGGGGGTCCCCACACCGCTGAGCCCCCCCTGTCTGAATGGGGCGGATTATGGGACACCCCGCTCTTCTCCTTCCTCGGGCACCCCGAATATTTTGGGGGTGGGGGGGGTCGGGGCAGCCCTGCCCGGTGCTGCAGTGTCCCCCCCGGTGTGGAGGGGGGGTCCCCGCCGGTCCCCGGTTGCCATGGCGATGCGCTGGCGCAGCCTCTTTGCTATTCCGTGCACGGAGCGTCTGGGCTGCGAAACCCCTCCGAGGCCTTTTGGGGGGGCCGGGGGGGTCTGGGGTGGGACGCCCCCAACCCCATTGACCCCCCCCAACCTCCCGCACCCCCTCCCCGCGCCGCGTCCCCCGCAGTCCCGGGTGCGGTGCTGGCGGCTCCGTGTCCCCGGGGACCCTGGAGGGGTGGCAGCGTGTGGCACCCCCTCCTCCGGTTCCCCCCCTATCCCGAGCCCCCTTCGGTGCTGCCGGGGCTCCCCAAAATGGGAGGGGGGGCGGGGGGGTTGTTACATAAACACCGCGGGCTCCATTTCCCGCTGCCTGGCGAAGGCGCGATGCGACGCTCATGGGCTGCGGGGACGGAGGTGGCGTTTTTGGGGGGGGTTCCGGAGCTGTGCCCCTCTCCCCGGCCCCAGCGGGGCTCTGTCCCTTTTGGGGGGCTCTAGGGCTGTGTGTCCGTCTGTCCCTTTTGGGGGGCTCTAGAGCTGTGTCCCTACCCCAAGCAGGAATAGGGCTGTGCCCGTTTTGGGGGGCTCTGGAGCTGTGTGTCCGTCTGTCCCTTTTGGGGGGCTCTAGGGCTGTGTGTCCGTCTGTCCCTTTTGGGGGGCTCTAGAGCTGTGTCCCTACCCCAAGCAGGAATAGGGCTGTGCCCGTTTTGGGGGGCTCTGTCCCTTTTGGGGGGCTCTGGAGCTGTGTGTCCGTCTGTCCCTTTTGGGGATCTCTAGAGCTGTGTCCCCACCCCAGGCAGGAATGGGGCTCTGTCCGTTCTGGGGGGCTCTGTCGCTTTTGGGGTCTGTAGAGCTGTGTGTCCGTCTGTCCCTTTTGGGGATCTCTAGAGCTGTGTCCCCACCCCGGGCAGGAATAGGGCTGTGCCCGTTTTGGGGGGGCTCTGTCCCTTTTGGGGGGGCTCTGTCGCTTTTGGGGTCTCTAGAGCTGTGTGTCCGTCTGTCCCTTTTGAGGAACTGTGTCTGTTTTGGAGGGCTCTGTCCCTTTTGGGGTCTCTAGAGCTGTGTTTCCACAGCAGGTAGGAATGGGGCTATGTCTGTTTTGGGGGGCTCTGTCCCTTTTCAGGGGGTTCCAGAGCTGTGCCTCTCTCTCCAGGCAGGAATGGGGCTCTGTCCCTTTTGGGGGGTCTCTAGAGCTGTGTCCTCACCGTGGGTATGAATCAGGCTGTGTCTGTTTTGGGAGGTTCTGTGCCTTTTGGGGGGCTCTGTCCCTTTTGGGGTCTCTAGAGCTGTGTCCCCACCCCAAGCCGGAATGGGGCTGTGTCTGTTTTAGGGGCTGTGTCCTTTTTGGGGTCTCTAGAGCTGTATCCCCACCCCGGGCAGCAATGGGGCTGTGTCCCTTTTGGGGGGCTCTAGAGCTGTGTGTCCGTCTGTCCCTTTTGGGGAGCTGTGTCTTCTTTGGGGGGCTCTGTGCCTTTTGGGGAGCTGTGTCTGTTTTGTGGGGCCTTGTCCCTTTTGGGGTCTCTAGAGCTGTGTGCCTTTTGGGGTGTTCTGTCCCGTTTGGGGTCTCTAGAGCCATGTCCCCATCCCCGTCAGGACAGAGCCCCTAAAGCTGTGTCTGCTTTAGGGGCTCTGTCCATTTTGGGGGGGCTCTGTCCCTTTAGGTGTCTCTAGAGCTGTGTCCCCACCCTGAGCAGGAATGGGACTCTGTCCCTTTTAGGGGCTCTGTGCCTTTTTGGGGGGCTCTGTCCCTTTTGGGGTCCATAGAGTCGTGTCCCCACCCTTGGCAGGAGTGGGGCTGTGTCTGTTTTAGGGTTTGTGTCCATTTGGGGGGCTCTGTCCCTTTTGGGGTCCATAGAGTCGTGTCCCCACCCTTGGCAGGAGTGGGGCTGTGTCTGTTTTAGGGTTTGTGTCCGTTTGGGGGAGCTCTGTCCCTTTTGGGGGGTCTCTAGAGCTGTGCCCCCACCTCAGTCAGGACGGGGGGGCTCTGTGCCTTTTGGGGATCTCTAGAGCCTTACCCCCACCCCAGTCAGGATGGGGGGCTGTGTCTGTTTTAGGGGCTCTGTCCCTTTTGGGGTCCCTAGAGCCGTGTCCCCACCCTTGGCAGAAATGAGGCTGTGTCTGTTTTAGGGTTTGTGTCCATTTTGGGGAGCCCTGTCCCTTTTGGGGGTCTCTAGAGCTGTGCCCCCACTCAAAGCAGGAATGGGTTTGTGTCCGTTTTGGGGAGCTCTGTCCCTTTTGGGATCTCTACAGCTGTGCCCCCACTCAGGACAGGATTGGGGCTGTATCTGCTTTGGGGGGCTCTGTCCCTTTTGGGGGTCTCTAGAGCTGTGCCCCCACCCCAGCCGGGACGAGGGGATTCTGTCCCTTTTGGGGGTCTCTAGAGCCTTACCCCCACCCCAAGCAGGAATAGGCCTTTGTCCCTTTTTGGGGGTCTCTGTCTCTTTTGGGGGTCTCTAGAGCTGTGTCCCCACTTGGAACAGGCATGGGGCTCTGTCCCTTTTGGGGGGGGGTGCTCTGTCCCTTTTAGGGGGGGGTGCTCTGTCCCTTTTTGGGGGGTGCTCTGCCCCTTTTGGGGTCCCTTTTAGGGGGGTGCTCTGTCCCTTTTGGGGTCCCTTTTAGGGGGGTGCTCTGTCCCTTTTGGGGTCCCTTTTAGGGGGGTGCTCTGTCCCTTTTGGGGTCTCTTTTAGGGGGGTGCTCTGTCCCTTTTCGGAGGTGCTCTGTCCCTTTTAGGGGGGTGCTCTGCCCCTTTTGGGCTCTCTATTACCCATGCCCCCACCCCATTTCGCACGGGGGGGCCGTGTCCCTTTCCCAGCCCCCCTTTCCCGTCTCCCGGGGGTGGGGGGGCTCAGCCTTGACCCCCCCTTTCCCCCAGGCTCCCCCTACTATGACAACGTGCGGCCCCTGTGCTACAGCGACTCGGACGCCGTCCTGCTCTGCTTCGATGTCAGCCGGCCCGAGACCCTCGACAGCGCCACCAAGAAGGTGGGGAGGGGGCTCAGAGCCCGGGACGGTGCCCCCGGGGTGGTTGGGGGGGGTCAGGGATGTGGGGATGCCAGCTTGGGGGGGTCCCCGTGGGGTTTGGGGGGCTCGGGGATGTGGGGATGCCGTCCTGGGGGTATCTCTGTGGGGTTTAGGGGGTTCAGGGATGTGGGGACACCATCCTGGGGGTATTTCTGTGGGGTTTAGGGGGTTCAGGGATGTGAGGATCTGTCCTGGGGGTATTTCTGTGGGGTTTAGGGGGTTCAGGGGTGTGGGGATCTGTCCTGGGGGTATTTCTGTGGGGTTTAGGGATGTGGGGATCTGTCCTGGGGGTATTTCTGTGGGGTTTGGGGGGTTCAGGGGTGTGGGGACACCGTCTTGGGGATATTTCTGTGGGGTTTAGGGGGTTCAGGAATGTGAGGATCCGTCCTGGGGGTATTTCTGTGGGGTTCAGGGGGTTCAGGGATGTGGGGACACTGATGCTGTGGGGTTTAAGGGTCTCAGGGATGTGGGGATACCAGCCCGAGGGGTTCTCATGGAGTTTGGGGGGCTCACAAATGTGGAGACACGAGCCTGGGTGGTCCCTCTGGGTTTGGAGGACTCAGGGATGTGGGAACACCGGCCTGAAAGGGTCCCTGTGGGGTTTGGGGGCTCAGAGATGTGGGGGCACTGACGCTGTGGGGTTTGGGGGCCTCAGAGATGTAGGGGCACCAGCCTGGAGGGTCCCTGTGAGGTTTAGGAGCTCAGGGATGTGGGGACTCTGTCCTGGGGGTGTTTCTGTGGGGTTTGGGGGGTTCCTGTGGGGTCTGGGGGGTTCCTGGGGGTATCTCTGTAGGATTTGGGGGCATTCAGGGACATGGGGACACTCTCCTGGAGGTATCTCTGTGGGGTTTGGGGGGTTCCTGGGGGTATTTCTGTGGGATTTGGGGGGTTGAAGGGGTATCTATGGGGTCTGAGGGGCTCAGGGACATGGGGACACTGTCCTGGGGATATCTCTGTGGGGTTTGGGGGGCTCTTGTGGGGTCTGAGGGGCTCAGGGATGTGGGGGCACTGTCCTGGGGGTGTTTCTGTGGGATCTGGGGGATTCCTGGGGGTATCTCTGTGGGGTTTGGGGGCTCAGGGATGTGGGGGCACTGTCCTGCGGGTATTTCTGTGGGGTCTGGGGCATTCAGGGATGTGAGGACACTGCCCTGGGGATATTTCTGTGTGATCTGGGGGATTCCTGGGGGTATCTCTGTGGGGTTTGGCTGTTCAGGGATGTGAGGACACTGCCCTGGGGACATTTCTGTGGGACCTGGGGCATTCAGGGATGTGAGGACACTGCCCTGGGGACATTTCTGTGGGATCTGGGGGATTCCTGGGGGTATCTCTGTGGGGTTTGGGGGCTCAGGGATGTGGGGACTCTGTCCTGGGGGTATTTCTGTGGGGTTTGGGGGGCTCCTGTGGGGTCTGGGGGGGTTCCTGGGGGTATCTCTGGAGGATTTGGGGGCATTCAGGGACATGGGGACACTCTCCTGGAGGTATCTCTGTGGGGTTTGGGGGGTTCCTGGGGATATCTCTGTGGGATTTGGGGGGTTGAAGGGGTATCTATGGTGTCTGAGGGTCTCAGGGACATGGGGACACTGTCCTGGGGATATCTCTGTGGGGTTTGGGGGGCTCTTGTGGGGTCTGAGGGGCTCAGGGATGTGGGGGCACTGTCCTGGGGGTGTTTCTGTGGGATCTGGGGGATTCCTGGGGGTATCTCTGTGGGGTTTGGGGGTTCAAGGATGTGAGGACACTGCCCTGGGGACATTTCTGTGGGACCTGGGGCATTCAGGGATGTGAGGACACTGCCCTGGGCACATTTCTGTGCGATCTGGGGGATTCCTGGGGGTATCTCCGTGGGGTCAAGGCTGGCACATGGAGACACCACCCCGCCGTGGGGTGACAGGGGGAGGCTTTTGGGTGTCCCCTGTCCCTCTGAGAGGTGCCCTGACCCCTCAGTGGAAGACAGAAATCCTGGATTATTGCCCCAACACCCGGGTGCTGCTCATCGGCTGCAAGACGGACCTGAGGACAGACCTGAGCACGCTGCTGGAGCTCTCGCACCAGAAACAGGCGCCCATCTCCTACGAGCAGGTCTGGGGGGGCCCGGAGGGTCTGGGGGGGTGGGATTGGGGTGTCCCGGTGCTCTGATTATGGGGGGGGTTTGGTGGGATCCCAGTGTTTGCAGGGGGGTGATTTTTGGGGTGTCTCGGTGGTCTGATATGGTTTTGGGGTGATTTTTGGGGTGTCTCGGTGGTCTGATATGGTTTTGGGGTGATTTTTGGGGTGTCCCAGTGGTTTGATATGGGGGTGGGTTTGGGGGGACCCTCATGGTTTTGGGGGATGGCTTTGGGGTGTCTCGGTGGTCTGATATGGTTTTGGGGTGATTTTGGGGTGTCCCAGTGGTCTGATATGGTTTAGGGGTGATTTTTGGGGTGTCTCGGTGGTCTGATATGGTTTTGAGGTGATTTTTGGGGTGTCTCGGTGGTCTGATATGGTTTTGGGGTGTCCTGGTCTTTGTGGGGGTGATTTTTGGGATGTCCCAGTGGTCTGATATGATTTTGGGGGATCCCAGTGTTTTTAGGTGTGATTTTTGGGGTGTATTGATGGTCTGATATTGTTTTGGGGTGTCCTGGTGGTTGTGGGGGTGATTTTTGGGGTGTCTTGGTGGTCTGATATGGTTTAGGGGTGATTTTTGGGGTGTCCCGGTGGTCTGATATGGTTTTGGGGTGATTTTTGGGGTGTCTCAGTGGTCTGATATGGTTTTGGGGTGATATTTGGGATGTCTCGGTGGTCTGATATGGTTTTGGGGTGATTTTTGGGGTGTCCCAGTGGTTTGATATGGGGGTGGGTTTGGGGGGACTCTGATGGTTTTGGGGGATGGCTTTGGGGTGTCTCGGTGGTCTGATATGGTTTTGAGGTGATTTTTGGGGTGTCTCGGTGGTCTGATATGGTTTTGGGGTGATTTTTGGGGTGTCTCGGTGGTCTGATATGGTTTTGGGGTGATTTTTGGGGTGTCTCGGTGGTCTGATATGGTTTTGGGGTAACTTTTGGGGTGTCTCGGTGGTCTGATATGGTTTTGGGGTGATTTTTGGGGTGTTTTGGTGGTCTGATATGGTTTTGGGGTGTCCTGGTGTTTTTAGGGGTGATTTTTGGGGTGTATTGATGGTCTGATATGGTTTAGGGGTGATTTTTGGGGTATCTCGGTGGTCTGATATGGTTTTGGGGTGTCCTGGTCTTTGTGGGGGTGATTTTTGGGGTGTCCCAGTGGTCTGATATGGTTTTGGGGTGATTTTTGGGGTGTTTTGGTGGTCTGATATGATTTTGTGGGATCCTGGTATTTCTGGGGGTGATTTTTGGGGTGTCTCGGTGGTCTGATATTGTTTTGGGGTGTCCTGGTGTTTTTAGGTGTGATTTTTTGGGTGTATTGATGGTCTGATATTGTTTTGGGGTGTCCTGGTGTTTGTGGGGGTGATTTTTGGGGTGTCTCGGTGGTCTGATATGGTTTTGGGGTGATTTTTGGGGTGTCCCAGTGGTCTGATATGGTTTTGGGGAATCCCAGTGGTTTTAGGTGTGATTTTTGGGGTGTCCCAGTGGTCTGATATGGTTTAGGTGTGATTTTTGGGGTGTCTCGGTGGTCTGATATGGTTTTGGGGTGATTTTTGGGGTGTCTTGATGGTCTGATATGGTTTTGGGGGATCCCAGTGGTTTTTAGGGGTGATTTTTGGGGTGTCCCAGTGGCCTAATGTGGGAGAGGGTTTTAGGGGACCCCGGTGTTTGCACAGGGGTCAATTTGAGGTGTCCCAGTGGTTTTGGGAGTGGATTTGGGGTGTTCTGATGTTTGTTGAGGTGGATTAGGGGTGTTCCAGTGGTCTGATATGATTTTGTGGGATCCTGGCATTTTTGGGGGTGATTTTTGGGGTGTCCCAGTGGTCTGATTATGGGGTGGGTTTTGGGGGATCCTGGTGTTTGCACGGGGCTCGGTTTGGGGTGTCCCGATGGGTTTGGGGCTCAGTTTAGGATATCCCAATGACTTTGGGCTGTCCCCATGGGTTTGTGGGGCTCAGTTTGGGCTGTCCCAATGTTTGGGATATCCCAGTGGGTTTGGGGGCGTCCTGGTGTTTGTGGGGCTCGCTTTGGGCTGTCCTGGTGGGTTTGGGGCTCAGTTTGGGATATCCCAATGACTTTGGGGCTGTCCCTGTGGTGTTTGTGGGGCTCAGTTTGGGCTGTCCCGGTGGATTTGGGGCTGTCCCGGTGGATTTGGGCTCTCCTGGTGTTTGTAGGGGTGAATTTGGGGCTGTCCAGGTGAATTTGGGATATCCTGGTGGTTTTGGGCTCTCCTGGTGTTTCTGGAGCTCAGTTTGGGGCTGTCCCAGTGGATTTGGGATACCCCAATGGGTTTGGGGCTGTCCCGGTGGGTTTGGGGCTCACTTTGGGATATCCCAATGACTTTGGGGCTGTCCCTGTGGTGTTTGTGGGGCTCAGTTTGGGCTGTCCCAGTGGATTTGGGATACCCCAATGGGTTTGGGGCTCAGTTTGGGATATCCCAATGGGTTTGGTGCTGTCCCAGTGGCTTTGGGGCTCAGTTTGGGGTACCCCAATGGCTTTGGGGCTGTCCCGGTGGCTTTGCGGCTGTCCCAATGGGGGTTTGGGATATCCCAATGGGGCTTTGGGGCTGTCCCGGTGGGTTTGGGGCTGTCCTGGTGGTTTTGGTGCTGTCCCGGTGGCTTTGGAGCTCAGTTTGGGGCTGTCCCGGTGGGTTTGGGGCTGTCCCGGTGGTTTTGGGCTGTCCTGGTGTTTCTGGAGCTCAGTTTGGGGCTGTCCCAGTGGCTTTGGGGCTGTCCCAGTGGCTTTGGGGCTGTCCCGGTGGCTTTGGGGCTCAGTTTGGGGCTGTCCCAGTGGATTTGGGATACCTCAATAGGTTTGGGGCTGTCCCGATGGGTTTGGGGCTTAGTTTGGGACTGTCCCGGTGGATTTGGGGTACCCTGGTGGTTTGGGGCTCTCCTGGTGTTTCTGGAGCTCAGTTTGGGGCTGTCTCGGTGGCTTTGGGGTACCCCAATGGATTTGGTGCTGTCCTGGTGGATTTGGGGCTGTCCCGGTGGCTTTGGGGCTCAGTTTGGTGCTGTCCCGGTGGCTTTGGGGTACCCCAATGGATTTGGGGCTGTCCCGATGGGTTTGGGGCTCAGTTTGGGGCTGTCCCGGTGGCTTTGGGGTACCCCAATGGCTTTGGGGCTGTCCCGATGGGTTTGGGGTTCAGTTTGGTGCTGTCCCGGTGGATTTGGGGCTGTCCCGGTGGATTTGGGGCTGTCCCAATGGGTTTGGGGCTGTCCCGGTGGCTTTGGGGTACCCCAATGGATTTGGGGCTGTCCCTGTGGCTTTGGGGCTCAGTTTGGGGCTGTCCCGGTGGCTTTGGGGTACCCCAATGGGGGTTTGGTGCTGTCCCGGTGGCTTTGGGGTACCCCAGTGGATTTGGTGCTGTCCCGGTGGCTTTGGGGTACCCCAATGGGTTTGGGGCTGTCCCGGTGGCTTTGGGGCTCAGTTTGGGGCTGTCCCGGTGGCTTTGGGGTACCCCAGTGGGGGTTTGGTGCTGTCCCTGTGGCTTTGGGGTACCCCAGTGGATTTGGGGCTGTCCCTGTGGCTTTGGGGTACCCCAATGGATTTGGGGCTGTCCCTGTGGCTTTGGGGTACCCCAATGGGTTTGGGCTGTCCCGATGGGTTTGGGGCTCAGTTTGGGGCTGTCCCTGTGGCTTTGGGGTACCCCAGTGGCTTTGGGGCTGTCCCTGTGGCTTTGGGGTACCCCAATGGATTTGGGGCTGTCCCTGTGGATTTGGGGTACCCAAATGGGTTTGGGGCTGTCCCTGTGGCTTTGGGATACCCCAATGGCTTTGGGGCTGTCCCTGTGGCTTTGGGGCTCAGTTTGGGGCTGTCCCTGTGGCTTTGGGGTACCCCGCCGCCTGACTCCGCTCTCCGCCAGGGCTGCGCGGCCGCCCGGCAGTTGGGAGCCGAGGGTTACCTGGAGTGCTCGGCGTTCACCTCGGAGAAGAGCGTGCACAGCATCTTCCGGGCCGTGTCCGGGCTGTGCCTGAGCAGCGCCGCCCCGCAGCCGCCGCGCAGCCCCGGCCGCAGCCTCTCCAAGCGCCTCCTGCACCTCCCCAGCCGCTCCGAGCTCATCTCCTCCACCTTCAAGAAGGAAAAAGCAAAAAGCTGCTCCGTCATGTGAAGGGGGGAAGGGAATCACACACACACACACACACACACAGAGCTCCTTCCTCCCCACCCCAAATTTGGGAACCCCCCCACCCCTCCAAGAGCAGGGAATGGGGTGTGGAGGGGCTGGGTAGCGTTTGGGAGGTCCCCCCCCTGCTCTAAAGGAGGGTTTGGGGTGCTGCCCTTGCCCTGGGAGGGGGGTTTGGGGAGGGCTTCACCCGGTTCCCAACCCTGAGGGGGTCCCTGGGGGGTTTGGGGTACTCAGACCCTCAGGGACACCAACCCAGGGGGGTCCCTGGGGGGTTTGGGGTGCACAGAACCTCAAGGACATCAACCCTGTGGGGTTTGGGGTGCACAGAACCTCAAGGACGTCGATCCTGTGAGGTTTGGGGTGCACAGGACCCTGGGGACATCAACCCTGTGGGGTTTGGGGTGCTCAGACCCCCAGGGACACGAACCCAGAGGGGTCCCTGCAGGGTTTGGGGTGCTCAGACCCTCAGGGATATCAATCCAAAGGGGTCCCTGGGGGATTTGGGGCACACAGGACCCTGGGGATGTCAACCCAGGGGGGTTTGGGGTGCACAGGACCCTGGGGACACCAATCCAGGGGGGTCCCTGGGGGATTTGGGGTACTCAGACCTTGAGGGACATCAACCCAAAGGGGTCCCTGCGGGGTTTGGGGTGCTCAGACCCTCAGGGACATCACCTGGGATGGTTCTTGTGGGGTTTGGGGGACACAGGGATGCCGTCCTGGGGATCCCTATGGCATTTGGGGTGCACAGGACCCTATGGACACCAACCCAGGGGGGGCCCTGGGAGGTTTGGGGTGCACAGGACCCTGGGGACATCAACCCTGTGGGGTTTGGGGTGCTCAGGACCCTGGGGACACCAATCAAGAGGGGTCCCTGCAGGGTTTCGGGTGCTCAGACCCTCAAGGACATCAACCCAGAGGGGTTCCTCAGGGGTTTGGGGTGCTCAGAACCCTGAGGATGCCAATCCAGAAGGGTCCCTGCGGGGTTTGGGGTGCTCAGACCCTCAAGGACATCACCTGGGATGGTTCCTGGGAGGTTTGGGGTGCACAGGATCCTGGGGACATCAACCCAGAGGGCTTTGGGGTGCTCAGACCCTCAGGGACATCACCTGAGATGGTCCCTGTGGGTTTGGGGGACACAGGGACGCCGTCCTGGGGATCCCTGTGGGGTTTGGGGTGCACATCATGGGACTCATCCATGGACTCATCCTGTTCTCTCCCCCTTCCCCCCATCCCTCATCTGCTGCTTGGCCCTGGGGGACCCTGTGGGTTGGGGAGGGGGGAGGGGGGGGCTGTTTTATGGACTATATTTTGGGGGGGGTGGGGATAGGGGGGGTGTCTCTGTTCCATGTCAGTGTTATTAAAAAAGCTTATTTATTATCAGAAATATAACACCTACCTATGTGCAGCCCTGCCTGGCCCTGTGCTTTGGGGAGGCATCGTGGGTTTTGGAAGCTTTTGGAATGTTTTGGTGACACTGCTGATGGTGACACTGATGTGATCGGGGGTGTCTTTTGGGGAGGGGGGTGCCAAAAGGGTACCCCCACCTCTTCTGCCCCCAAACTCTGCTTGGGACCCCCCGATCTTGTGAATGGGGGAGTGGAGGTCCTGCAGGGACACTGATCTGGGGGTCCCTGGTGAGTTTGGGGTGCGTGGGGCTGCTGATCTGGGGGGGTCCCCGTGGGATTGGGGGGGTGCGGGGACATGGGGGACACTGACTCGGGAAGGTTCCTCCAGGCTTTGGGGTGCTCTAGGCCTTGGGGACCTCATTTGGGTAAGCAGGAGGTGCTGCCTGCGGGCTGTGGGGGGCTCAGGGCCACGGGGACACCGTCCCGGGGGACTCTTTGCCGTGGGGAGGGGGGAGCTGCCGCGCGGCGGAAGGATCACGGGGCGCGGCGGTTCTGTGACCGCGCAGGGGCGCCGGGAGCGTGCGGGGGACGCCGGGAGCTGTAGTCCAATGGCGCGAAGGCTGCCGGGAGCTGTAGTCCCGCGCCGTCCCGGTAAGCCCCGCGGGCCCGGCAGACATGGCGGCGGAGCGGCGGCGCTGAACGCGGGGCTGCGGCGGTGAGCGGAAACCGGTGGGAGCGAGCGGGGGGCACTGCAGGGAGCGAGAGAGGGGCCCAGGGACTGCAGAGCCCCGGTGCCGCGGCACCGGGCAGAGCCCCGGTACTGGGTAGCAGCGGCAGGGCCTGGAGCGCCGTTGCGCCGCGTCCCCCGGGCCTCACGGAGCCTTTCCGGGGTCCCTCAGGGCTCCCCGCGCCCATTCCCCGAGGCTCCCTGTGCCTTCTCAGGGTCCTCCCTTCCCTCTACGTTCTCTCCTAGGGGCCTTCCAGCCCTTCCCGCTGCTTGTTGGGGTCCCTCTGTGCCCTCTCGGGGGTCCCCCAGGTTCCCCCCCTCCCTTCTGAGGGTCCCTTTGAGCTCATCCCGCGTTTTCCTCTCCCTTCTGAGGGTCCCTTTTCTCTCTCTCCCACCTGAGGGTCCCTTTGCGCCTTCCCAGGATCCCCTTTCCCTCCTGAGGGTTCCTTTGCGCTCTCCCGCGTTCACTTCTCTTTCCCGAGGGTCCCTTTTCTCCCATCCCGGGTTCCCCACTCCCTCCTAAGAGTCCCTTTGCGCTCTCCCCGGGTCCCCCTCTCTCTCCTCAGGGTCCCTTTTTGTTCACCCTGGGTTCCCCCTCTGCCTCCTGAGGGTCCTTTTGCGCTCTCCCCGGATCCCCTCTCCCTCCTGAGGGTTCCTTTTCCCTCATCTCTGGTTCACCCCTCCCTCCTGAGGTTCCCTTTGAGCTCATCCCGCGTTCCTCTCTCCCTCCCGAGGGTCCCTTTTCGTTCACCCCAGGTCCCCCCCTCCTTCCTGAGGGTCCCTTTTTGCTCTCCCCGGGTTCCCCCTTCCCTCCTGAGGGTCTCTTTTCCCTCATCCCGGGTTCCCCCTTCTCTCTTGAGGGTCCCTTTTCTCTCTCCCCGGGTCCCCCTCTCCCTCCTCAGGGTCTCTTTTTGTTCACCCTGGGTTCCCCCTCTGCCTCCTGAGGGTCCTTTTGTGCTCTCCCCGGATCCCCTCTGCCTCCTGAGGTTCCCTTTGAGCTCATCCCGCGTTCCCCTCTCCCTCCTGAGGGTTCCTTTTCCCTCATCTCTGGTTCACCCCTCCCTCCTGAGGCTCCCTATTTGCTCATCCCGGGTCCCCCCCTCCCTGCTGAGGGTCCCTTTGCGCCCTCCCAGGGTCCCCTCTCCCTTCTGAGGGTCTCTTTTCCCTCATCCCGGGTTCCCCCTTTCCTCCTGAGGGTCCCTTTTCTCTCATCCCGCGTTCCCCTCTCCCTCCCGAGGGTCCCTTTTCGTTCACTCCGGGTTCCCCCTTTCCTCCTGAGGGTCCCTTTTTGCTCTCCCCGGGTCCCCCCCTCCCTCCTGAGGGTCCCTTTTCGCTCATCCCGGTGTCCCCCAGCTCTCCCTGCTTCTTTTCAGCATCTCTCTGTTCCCTCCCCGGGTCCTTTGACATCTCCCCATTCCTTCCTGGCGGTCTCTTCGACCTCCCCACTCCTTCTTGGGGTCCCTCTCTTCCATCACAACCCCTCTCTCGCCCTCCTGGGTCTCTCCCCTGCACCCCAGTTTCCCTCCCGGTCCCCCCCTGACCCTCCCGGTGTCCACCTCCCCACAGATGGCCGGAGAAGTGGCGGACAAGAAGGATCGGGACGCATCCCCGGTGAAGGAGGAGAGGAAACGTTCCCGCTCCCCGGAACGGGACCGGGAACGGGACCGGGAGCGCAAGGGCTCCCCCCCGGCCAAGGAGCGGAAGCGGCACCGATCCCGGGAGCGCCGGAGGAGCCGCTCCCGATCCCGGTCCCGCTCCAAGTCCACAGAGAGGTGAGGCAGCTCCGGGGCTCCCCGGGCTTTGGGAAGAGCTTTGATGGGTTTGTCAGTGGGAAATAAAAAGTTGTGAGGGGAGGAGAAGTGTTGTGAAGGTTTTGTATTGATAATTAATAAATCTGTATTATTATATTAGTAAATACAATTGTATTTATTATAAAAATTTTATAAAATTATTATATTCAAAATATATTATAATTATAAAATTATTATATTCATAAATATATTACTGTTAATATATTTTTCTTTATACTCTTTTAAAACGGTATAAAAAATTGTTAACAGTACTTATTTATTTTAAAGAGGTTATAAAGAAAAATTATTAACAGTATTTATTTATTATAAAGAAAAATGTATTAACAGTATTTATTTATTATAAAGAAAAATGTATTAACAGTATTTATTTATTTTAAAGAGGGCATAAAGAGGCTCTCTTTTAAAGTTTTGAGCCTGCTCTGCCTTTTTCCTCACCCTGCCTCACAGCAGGATTGGATGCACTGGGGATTGGGCAGCACTGAGCCCACCACACTCACTGCTGCATTGGCCAGGAAATATCAAAACTATCCAAATCTCGAGCTGACAAACCAAAACCAGTGCAGAGGGTGGGTGAGGGCTGTGGGGCCGTGCTGGGACCCCCCTGTGGAGCTGTGACCCCCCTGTCCCCCAGGGATCGGCGGCACAAGGAGCGGGACCGGGAGCGCAGCAAGAAGGAGCGGGACAGGGACAAGGATGGGCACCGGAGGGACAAGGACCGTAAGCGGTCCAGGTGGGTCCTGTCCCTTTTTTGTGGGGTTCCTGCTCTCCCCTGAATCCCCTGGAGGTTGGGGATCCCCCAGGGCTGTGCTTGGTGTCTTATTCCTGGTGCTGTTTTCTTTGGAAGTTTGTCCCCGGGCAGGGGGAAAGACTCCAAGTCTCGGAAGGATCGGGAGGCACGGAAAGCAGAGGAAGAGGAGGAAAATGCCCTGAAGAAGGAGAAGGTGAGGAGGGGGCAGATGGGGCTTGGATGGAAGGGGCTCCAGATCCCTGGGGAGTGGCTCCAGGGGATTCAGATACCCAGGAGTGGCTCCAGGGGATCCAGGTCCCTGGGGAGTGATTCCAAGGGATCCAGGTCCCCAGGAGTGGTTCCAGGGGGATCCAGGTCCCCAGGAGTGGCTCCAGTGGATCCAGGTGCTTGGGGAGTGGTTCTAGGGGATTCAGGTCCCCAGATGTGGTGCTGACATCTGACCTCACTTGCAGGCACAGCCGCTGTCCTTGGAGGAGCTCCTGGCAAAGAAGAAGGCAGAAGAGGAGGCAGAAGCCAA